CAAGGAATTAATTTGGATATATAGCAATAGAAACAGTTTAAAATGACTTACTGTGTTTCCCTGAAAATAAGACACAGTCTTTTTTTTTGCCTCCAAAACAGGCACCAGGTCTTATTTTCGGGGGGGGGAGGTCTTTTAGACTCAACTCGTGGCGGCACCGACAGCCCCGCCCAGCCGGCCCACTTCTTCTGCGGCCGAAGGAGTAGCTTCATTCTGCAGCTGAGAATGGAGCTCTGGCCTGCATTTTTCCGTCAGAGGCCTTTCTGGAAGGCCTATGCAGCCGAAAACCGAGCTCCGGCCTGTATTTTGCCGTCAGAGGCCTTTCCAGAAGGCCTATGCAGCCGAAAACCGGTTCTCGGCTGCACAGGCCTTCCAGAAAGGCCTCTGACGGTGAAATGCAGGCCGGAGCTCCATTCTCAGCTGCAGAATGAAGCTGCTCCTTCAGCCGCAGAAGAAGTGGGCTGGCGGGGCAAGTGTCAATCCATGGGAGGCCTGGCTGCAACGGTAAGCTCCACTCCCGCCCTAGCTTGATTTTTAGGCGTGCGCCTCGCCCCGAAACTAGGGCTTATTTTTGGGGTAGGGCTTATATTAGGCCCGCCCCCAAAAATCAAGCAAGGGCTTATTTTTGGGGTAGGGCTTACTTTCGGGGAAACACAGTACTTAGCCATATTTTGATCCAAACAGTTCTCAACTGAAAACAGCCCCAAAAATCCCTACAATGAAATAGAGAAAGAGAATGGTCTCTGTGGTTTACAAACCTTAAAGAGAAGGAACATTAAAATAAATGTAGCAGTATAAGCAAAATAATATAGTTAAATAACATTCCACATGCATTACGTCATCCATGACACCATCCTCAGCAAGAGAAATAAAAATAATTCCATCAGACTCCAAAGGCACTCGAGGAATAGGCAAATCTTATTGGCTTTGCAAAAATAATAGGGCTGGGGATCTTAGAGGTTAGATGATCTCGGGATCCCTGCTGATGAGATTCCTTAAGGGATAGGGACCATAAAAAGTCTCTTCCTCCATGTTCCAGTAGAGGGGAGTGACCACCAAAAGAGAGAAGACTCTCAGGGCTGAACTATTATGTTGGAGCATTTTGTGCTCTGCAATTTTGAAAATGCAAGCCAAATAAATTTCATTCCCATTTTTGCAGATATTAGCATTGGGTTGACTAGCCAAGTTTGGAATAAAAGATAATTTGCTGAATGTCTATTCTCATTCTGGGTTAATTGGTAATTCCTTTAGAACAGACATCTTTCTATTTCAGATCAGCCTGTTTCTCAGCTGCAGAGATTCTTATTACTTCTGAACTGATTTTTATCATGATGGATGAGGTACATTTTTCTCCCTTATTCATTAGTTTGACAGATGGTGACATTACAAATCAGTTCCTTTTACCTCATACATAAAACAACTTGCTCTTTTAGCTGTTTTTCTTGGCTTAAATGTAATAATATTTCAAACGTCAGTAGTGATATTTTGCAAGGTTTATAGTCATTTACCAGTTAACATTACATTAAAGTTGGTTCTTGGAGAGAGTTTTTCTCCTGCTAAATTAGCATTATTTAAAGATATATGTATTATAAATGCTTATCTGAATAACCAAAATATTTTAATTTTAAGAATTAAAAGTAAATGTTATGCTTTTAATCATCAAAATTAATTATTTAATATTCCTTAAGAGGTCTAGACAAATTGACAATGTTTTCTCTCTGTCAGTTAAAAGATAAGTAATTTAAAAAAATTGTTGGCAATATTTCCTTCAGGTAAATAGTTCTTGTTCCTTCCATTTGTTCCTTTTTAAATGGGTGTTAGATGCATAATATAGTGTTCCTTATTTTTGTTGAAATTCTGCTTTTGAATAATTTCATTGAATCATTGAATAAAATGTAAGTTTAGTAATTTGAGGTGATTATTTTACTGAAAGATGCAATCATGCCATTTATATTACTAAAATGTTTCAATTTTAGTTAGTTCTACATCTGTGAAGATCTTATTTGTATCCCATCTTGATTGCATTTTAATCTCATTTAAAATTCTGCAACTACTCAGTATGATGTACTAAATATTTATAGCTTCATGGCTTTTTTTGTAGTGGGAGAACCTAGTATTGTCTCTCAGAAATTAACATATTGTTTTAACTTAAATACATGGAATTTGGAATGTAGGCAAGCATGGCTTTTCTTGTCTCATAGCCACAAGAAGTACAGCAGGAAAAGTATACCATTCCATTTGTGTATTGGGCTTTATTTTTTCTGCTACTAAGCCAATGACACCAGCTCTTCCAGTTTCAGTAGTTGCAGTAAAACAGGAGTAGCTGTGTTTTAGAAATGGACATTTATTAGCATTTTGCCATTATCTTGTGTTGGCTGTTATTTTAGAAATGACTAAAGACAGTATGAGAAATTTAGACTGAAATGACATTAATTTTTGTTCTTATGAGTTGGATTGATTTAATTTCTAACTCTGTGTGCATGTTTTTGTGTATGCGCAAGCATGTTCACACCCATACATACGCACACATAATCACATCACAGAAGTGCTAAGGATTTTTCCAAGAAATCTTCATTATGTCAGGATGGCAATCACTTTCATATCCGATATTTTAAATTCTTTAGAACAGGGGTGTCAAACTCAATTTCATTGAGGGACACGTCAGCATTGTGGTTGCTCTCGGGGGGCTGGGTGGGTGTGGCCAGGGTGGGCGCAGCTGGGGTGGGTGTGGCCTACTGAGTGGGCATGGCCAGCTCGACGTTGCTCGCGTCAGGGGTGCCTGTGGGGGACTGGGCAGGACTGGGGTAGATCCAAGGGTCTCCGGCAGAGGGGGGTGAGACCAGAGCGAGTGCCAGGGCATGGGCCACTGGAGGAGCCTCATCGTCCCTCTTATGCCATGCAGGGGGGGCTGGACAGTGCACAGGCTGTCCGGAGCCCTGGGTAGCAGAGGTCAAACACCCAGCCTTGCCCTTAACCTCCCGCGGCACGTAGCCTAGCCCCACTTCCCCAAGGGGGTGCCCAGCTGCACTTACCTCCTCCTCAAGGCTGCTGCTGCTGTTGTGCTCGCTCTCCTTAGCCAGGTTGCTCATGGTGGATGCAGGTGGGCAAAGTGAGTGGGTCAGAGGGAGGCCCACTCCCTCTCTATGCGAGGAGAGCCGGCTTTGTAACCAAAGCATCCTTAGCGATAGGATGGGAGATCCCTAGGATAGGCCAGGAGGAGGGGGCAGGGGGATGGTGAAAGGGCAGCAGGACAGGACTAAGGCAGGACTTCCCACAGACCCTCCCTCTCATTCCAGCCTCCCTCCCTCCCTCCTTCCTGTTTCCCTCCCTGCATCCTTCCCTGCCTCCCTCTTTCTCATTCCCATCTCTTTCCCTCCCTCCTTCCCTTCCTTTCTTCCTTCCTTCCTTCTGAACAGAGTGGCAGGAAAATATTTGAGATTCACTTACCAACTGTGGCAAGAAAGGTCATAAAATGAAACAAAATTCATTTTAACAACTGTCTCACTTAGCAACAGAAATGTTGGGCTCAGTTGTGGTTATAAGTCGAGGACTATCTGTATTCTTAACTTCGAAGGGTCTTTGAAGTTCATACAAACTACCATAATGCCAACCCATCTAGTGGTTTAACTATTACTACCTGTAATTCAGTACAGGGCCAATTGAGGCCCTGCTACTGCACTGAGCTAAATATTATGTAGTAGGAGGGTTCCCTAGAGAAGCACTGATATACATGGGAATTGGAATTCTCCAATGCTGGAGACTATTCAAAATTTGTAATGTTTTCATATAAGTAAAAACTGTTTCTTAAGAACTCTTTCACTTCTTCTGTAGAAATCCTCTCTAAAGGTTTTTCACAGCATTTTTTTTTTCAGTTGTAAAACCACAAATTTATTTCTGTAGAAACATACCTTAAACATTCTTAAGTTTATAGAAGATGGTGGTCTTCGTAATGTGTGTGTGTTACCTTTCTCAATGAGACAAGAAAACTGTATTGCATGTATATAGAAATTAGTGGCCTGTTAATGGTTTGCTCACCAATTAATATGGCATTGGTGTCCATATAATTGGTGGAAGAAGGATCAAATGATGAAATATCATAGGGTTGCAATGCAAACTTTGCCCCTTTTATACTCATGTAGATAACTTCAAGCAGACATGTAAGGGATAGCGCTTTATTACAATGCACATTTGACAAAAGTTTGCTACAGATGCTGTGTCATGGAGTTATGCATAAAATAATTCAACATGTATGCACAATTCTTTGTGCTATTGCATGGTTCACTTTTTAATAGATACAAATGTATACATGTCACTTTTTATGACATAATTCTAGAAATTCTACCAGTTTGTACATATATATATATTTGTCCTGTTAAGTCAGTGGTTCTCAACCTTTTTAATGCCGCGACCCCAACCGGTCGTAAGTCGAGGACTAAACCGGTTGTAAGTCGAGGACTAAACCGGTCGTAAGTCGAGGACTACCCAACCGGTCATAAGTCGAGGACTTTTCCTGCCCGGGAGCGCCGCGCATGCGTGGTTCCGCCCCCTGCGCCGGCCGAGGCATAGCTGGCAAGCGGCAGAGACGGAGCAGGCTGACCATCAGCTGGCCCAGCCCAAGGGAGGTAAGGCACCCGCCAGAAAAGGGGGGAAAAATGGCGGACAGCCTTGCTTGGCGACCCCCATGAAATGGTCGATCGACCCCAAATGGGGTCCCGACCCACAGGTTGAGAACCACTGTGTTAAGTGATCATGAGGGCTACTTTTAAAAAATTCAATCTACAAGGTTTTCCAACCAAAGATATAAAAGCGATGTGCTAGTATTTGAGAGAGAAAAAACAACTGCTTTAGAAGAGCTGCTATGTACCTTACTGGAATGGCAAAGATACAAAAAGATCATGACACTTAGATGAAAACATTTGATTTGGGTAGGTTGCGGGGGGGTGTGTGTGTCAGGGATTGTAAACCTGTAATTCTTAATTTCTTTCATTGCTTATACTTAGGCACGAGTGCAGATTTGAAGATGCTACTTGCAAGATACCTGAATCTGATACTGAAGACTTATCTGATGAAGCAAATACTGAAACTTTCTATGGAACCTCCCCTCCTAGCACACCACGGCAGATGAAACGCCTGTCAACAAAACATCTGAAAAGTAACATTGGCAAACTTACCAATCGTTCTGCTTCGAAAGGTACGTAAGAATTTTTCAGGATTGCAAAAACCAAAGAGGTCAGCAGTGAGTAACTTGGTATTCTGCTTGAAATCTACTGTCGTTTTCCCAGTATGCTTATATTGGGCAGATAAAGTGGAAACTTTCATCCAATGCAGAGAAAATTGAGAAATGAGCTGCTTCTGTAGGGAGGGAGGGAGTATAATTGATGGAGTCTCTTCCTTTCTGCTAAAAGTGCAGAAATCTTCCATTCCCCTTTTTTTCCATTTGAGGAAGAATGAATAGCCAAGCTTACATCCATGGAACCTACTGTTCTGCCATCCCTGATACAGAATGGCTAAGGATTAGTGGGAAGATCAAAGGGCCTCAGATTTCTGTCTTATCACCTGCGCTTTGGCAATACAACTGGCACAGCAGAGTAGCAGGATTAAGAGGTTAATTCATTACCAAGTATATTAAGAGCAGTTGGAAATGGGAAGAAAAGAGCATTGTGAATAGTCACTTTGTCCCAAGGTTGTCTAATTTTCTATTTAGCTTAGTATTATCTATTCTGACAGGCAATGATCGTCCAAGGTTGTCTGAGAAAGGACATTTTTACCACTCTGAACTATTCAACTGTTTTATCTTTTTAAAGCAAGGCAGGTGCTCTATAGATCTGCATGGGCTTACGTAAGCAAGATAGTGCAGAGGGAGAAATCATGTATCTTGAACGCATATTTATTATTTTGACAAATATGCATGATTATTCCCATGGAAATAAAATCATCTACCGAGTTTTTATTTTGCAAAATGTTATTTTCACTTTCTCTAAATAACAGTACAATTGTCTTTTATTGAGAGCTAGTTTGGTGTAGTGGTAAAGGCACTGAGGTAGAACCTAGGATACTGGCTGGATGACTTTGGGGGAGTCATACCCCTTTTAGCCCTAGAATCAGGCAAATTACTTCTGAAATTATGTCAAGAAAATTGCAGGGATTTGTCCACAAGGGATAATCACCATGACTTGAAGGCACCAAAAAAAAAAAGTTAAACTTTTATTACGTCAATCTGCTTGTGCTATATTAGTATTGGCAATATACTTTGCAAAATATATGAATATTGTCAAAAGCTAGGAATTTTCTTCATGCTATACAAAATGTATAGGATCTTATTTAGCAGAATTTCAGGTGTAGTGAAATTGTGAGTTTATTGAATAATTCTCTTTTTTCTGCTGCTTTTTTATTGTAGAAGAGATTCATAAAAGGATGTAGAACTTTAAAAATATCCCACGTTTTATTGTCCTTAAAATAACTCTTAAAATAGATCAGTGTTATATTATCCCAAGAGCATGGTTACCTGCTAAGATGGTAAGATTTAAACTAGATTTGTCCAGCTAACTATTAATAACACTTACTACTGTAGTTGTTATGTAGAAGGACAGGATAGTAAGAATAAGCGTTTTGTAGATCCAGATACATTTATATGGGTTTACAAGGCATTATGCACATTACTTGTGTATAGCTGTTATCTAACTGCTGAAAATTCAAGATACAGGAAAAAAAATGAGTGTAGGAATGAATTTATGATTTTGCATTCAAATTTGGAATAAATTGCTAGTTAAATTTCCATCATCCCTGCATCTCAATAATAATGAAAAGACAAACATGTATAACTATATCCCGGCTCAGAATTATAATAATAGTTTATTTAAATGCTCTGTTGATAAAACAGCCTCTTTTACAATAAGATTAATCCAAAAAATGCATTTATTAAATTTAGGTTGTCACTCAAAACCCAATTTTTCAAGGACAGCATACCATACATTAAAATCATAGTTAAAAAAGTTTGAGTGGAAGTTAAAATATACAAGAAGATAAACAAGAAAAGCCATGTTGAAGTAATTAGACATTCCTAAGTGACATATATTTTAAAATGTAGTATATAGTCATATAAAAAAGTAATTTTCTCTGATGATGAATAGATAGTAATGTTGATTCCAGACTTACTTACTAAGGAGGACATGCCAGAATCAGCTATCACTGAAAAGTCTAACTCCCAGGGAAACACCACATCTTGTTGCTGAAGAGCACTAACAATAGAACGTCTTAGTACGATCAATTTCATACCAAGGAACACAAAGAAAGGGGATTTTTCAGATTCTGTGGTCCTAAGCTATGAATGGACTGATAGTTTATACCTTCGCCTTGACTGTATATGAACCAGGAGTGACTGAATAAACCATATATAATAATATTATATATAAACTATATAATAGTTTCCCCTCAGAAAAGTTGCAATCAGAATTTTCACTTCCATATTTTGTATTAACTTTTTGGATTGTTTTAGGGGTAGTTCTGTGTATAATACATTACATCATAGTAATCTAAATGAAAAGCTATAAGGCCCATAGTTGGCATACATTACCAACCTATGTTGGTAAAATACACTTTGTACTACAGAGGACACTTGGATCCTTAGTGACCAAAAGAACACTCAAAATGTGAAACTGATCTTTTAAGAGTTGTAGAGCCCTTTCCAGAATAAGGGTCCAAAAATACTGGACAGATAGACAAACAGACAGAAGTTGTTAGCCCTTATCCAGCCCATTAATGTGGCCAGCATCGAATAAATATTTCTGCTTCACCTGAAGCTAATGAGAAGAGACGGCTGTGTGTCATCAGCAAAGTGATGACACTTTATTCTTAATCTCCAAATAATCTCACTCAGCAGCTTCATGTAAATGGGAAACAGCATGGGGGATAAAATGCAACCTTGCAGCATCCTGCAGCACCATTTTCAGGAGATGGCCATGCTTCACAGTTCCCTTTCATCTAACTTGGACAACCTCTCCAGAAGGACATCACGATCAGTATTTCAAAAGCCACTGAGAGGTTCAACAGAATCATCAGTCACCCTTCATGTTCTTTCTCTCAGTTAAGAGAGATTAAGATGATTAAGGGTTATTACGTTAGCCTCAATGGAAAGACCAGGCTTAAATTAACCAAAATGGATCTATAAAATCAGTTAAGGGGATGTTACATCAGTTTGAATGAAATTATGCATCAATGAAATTAATTTTGAATTTTAGATCTTATGCAATAGTGTATGCATTTTTAGAAAGATTTAATCAGGAGTTTTAAGAAAAAATTGTGATTCGCCTCCATTCTATCAAGACTTATGCTCTGAAGACTTCTGTTTAGTCACTGGTTCCAGCTGCTATGTACAGTAAAAGAGATCATTGTCACTTCTTATGATTACAATTAGTATAACTGAATGTTTCCATTAGCCCTGTTATTTTAAAAGCTCCACAATATAATTATAATGCCCTTGGGTACAAAATGACTCAGTGTGCCTTGAATTTTGAGTGAAGTATGATTCAAAGAGCTCTTTGGTGTGGTTATCAATTATTACTACTTACAGATTCATGATCATTTCTAAAATATGATTTTTTCATTCTCATGTTAGATTGTGGTTTAAGTTGAATGACTAGGAAGGCATAATAATAAGAGATACAGAAATTATGATAACTAAATCAGATAACTGAGGTTTATCTCATTGTTTAAAAATAGCAGTAACAAAAAAACTGAAGTTTTAAGTAAAAAGTTAATTTGGTATGTGGTTTTGTAATGACAGGAACCTAATAATTCAGAGTTTCACAAACCGGCTGCAGATAACTTTAGACGTAATTGCTGAAGCATCAGTGTGTTATGGTTGAATGAGTGGGATATGACTATCCTGTTGCCATTCCCATAACTACTAAGACATTTTATCTTAATTTGTGGGCACAGCTAAGTACCAGCTAACAATCTGTACTGTATGGATATAATAGGGAAAGCAGATGGAGAATGATGTCACGTGTCTTATGATGTCATCACATAAATAGTGCACATTCTGTACTGTAGTACCATATGCATCATGATTTGACTGAGACAAATTACATAATTTGCATAATTCACATGATGTTATGATATGCTTGGCATCAGTGTGGTTTCTATTGGATGCCTGTGTTCCAGTGTTTCATAAACTGTGACGCTAGACCTAAAAACATGGGCAAAGAATTTGAGTGGCATTTGAATCATGTGTGAAATCTATTAGGTTCTGAACCTTTTACATAATTTTAAGGGACTGTCATGAATGTGTCATGTATATTTAGCATGCAACAAAATTGAACACTTAGGGAGTGGAAGAAGTAAATAAAATCAGTATCAGTAGTGTTTTTTTTTGGGGGGGAAGCATGTTTTTCTTTAGATGTGAAAAAAAATTGTTTTGTGTTATGATTTCAGAGAAAATGAGCTCACCCAACCAGCTGCCTAACAAAGATAATATTAAAATCTCCGAGAACACAGAAGAGCACAGCTATAAGCAGGGGAAAAAGCTCCGAGCCACCTTAAGGACAACTGAGAGGGATCATAAGAAAAACGTACAGTGTTCGTTCATGTTGGACTCGGTCGGTGGGTCCTTACCAAAAAAGTCAATTCCGGATGTTGATCTCAATAAGCCTTACCTCAGCCTTGGCTGCAGCAATGCTAAGCCTCCAGTATCTGTACCCGTGCCTATAGCCAAAACTACACGCCAGACGTCTCGTACCGATTACCCAGCAGACCGCTTAAAATTTTTTGAGACCCTGCGGCTGTTGTTAAAGCTTACCTCAGTTTCCAAGAAAAAGGACAAAGAGCAGAAAGGACAGGAAAGCACTTCCTCTGTTGAATTAAACCGATCCAACGAACTAATCTGGCTTGAGCTGCAGGCGTGGCATGCGGGGCGGACTATTAAGGACCAAGACTTCTACTTGTACACAGCTCGTCAAGCCATCCCTGATATTATTAATGAAATTTTTACTTTCAAGGTAAACTATCGGAACCTCTCCTGTGTGGGAAATGGAGCTAGTCTTAATGGTACGTCGGCAAGACAATGTAAAGCAGCCCATGGAGCTAATGTAATGGGTTACTCAAGCTATCACGAGCACCTCCATCGCCAGCGGGTCTCTTTTGAACAGGTAAAGCGGATAATGGAGCTGCTAGAATACGTAGAAGCACTTTATCCATCTCTGAAGGCCCTTCAAAGTGACTATGAAAAATATGCTGCAAGGGATTTTCAGGACAGGGTGCAGGCACTTTGTCTTTGGTTAAACATTACAAAAGATTTAAATCAGAAACTAAGGATTATGGGGACTGTTTTGGGCATCAAGGATCTTTCTGACATTGGCTGGCCAGTGTTTGAAATCCCTTCTCCTCGTTCGTTCAGGGACAATGATCTAGAGGATGAAGTTTACAATGAAGACGACGACGACGATGATGATAGGGTAACCTCAGGTGCGTGCACAGAGGAAAGTGAAGATGAAGAACAAATCTCTGAGGAGAATGTGGAGGAACTTAGACAAGCCATCCGAAATAATCTTGCCAATAAGGCAAATTTTGATTTTGAGGCACAGGACCATTTGTCAAGAAAGCTTGATAGGCTTGAATCTGAAGATGACTCAACCTGCTGGGCAGTTACAGAGTGCAGCGGAGAGACAGGCTGCGGCAGACATTGTTTGACCTCTATTTATAGGCCATTTGTAGATAAAGCACTGAAACAGATGGGGTTGAGGAAGCTCATTTTAAGACTGCACAAGTTAATGCATGGCTCCTTGCAGAGGGCCCGAATGGCATTGATAAAGAGCGATCAGCAGCTGGAGGTAGGTTTGGGGAGGCAGGTGGAATGGATAATGCTTAAGCAATAGTCCTTTTAAGCTGTGTTTTTCTTCCCAAAGTTTTTCTATGTAAAATGTATATATAGTTTGAAACATGCTGAACCATGTTGACTTACTTTAATAATGGTGACATATCAGGTGAAACATATGTAATATATATGTCGTCTTTCCTTGTCAATTCTGTGTCTGGCATAACACAGCCTGTACAGGTAGTCCTTGACTTACAACCATTCGTTTAGTGACTGTTCAGAATTACAACGGCACTGTAAAAAGTGACTTACGATTGCTTTTTACACTTAACAACCCTTGCAGCAGCCTCTTGGTCACATGATCATAATTTGGGCTCTTTGCAACAGGCATGTATTTATGACAGTTGCACTGTTGCGGGGGTCGTATGATCACTATTTGTAACCTTCCTAGCCGGCTTCCGACAAGCAATGTCAATGGACTTAATGCCTGCATGATTCGCTTAATAACCACTGTTGTGGCAGAAAAGGTTATAAAATGAGGCAAAATTCACTTAACAACTGCCTTGCTTAGCAACTGCCTTGCTTAGCAACATAATTTTTGGGCTCAATTGTGGTCATAAGTCGAGGACTACCTGTATTAATTTTCTGACAGTTAAACGATAGTGGGGATACACTAGATCAGGGTTCCCCAACCCCTGGTCCATCGACCCGCACCATGGACCGCACCAGAAACCGGACTGCACAAACAAGCGAAACCCCATCTAACGGGATGCAGGCAACACGTGAAACCATGCCCCCTCTGGTCCGGGGAAAAACCTCTCTCCACGGAAACAGTCCCTGATGTCCAAAAGGTTGGGGGGCCACTGCAGTAGATATTCAATTTCTCCCATTTCCTCCACTTTTCTTAATGATATTAATGGGACAGGCCTTATTGGAGTAATAATGGTCAAGTGCTAGAAATGAAAGTTTCTTCGCAGAATATTATCTATGCAACTTTATTGTTTTCTGATGTGATGTTGACTGTGGGAGAAAGGATATTCTTTAGATTGAAACAATTTTATACAAAATGGAAAAAAAAAGAAACAGTTTTCCAATCCTTCTGAAATTTAGGGAATAAAAATTGCCAGGAAGTCCTGTGAGAGCTAAGATTCAGTAAACTGAATATTTTAAATACACTTAGGATGTTTTCAACATTCAAAATAATTAATATAAAAACGTTATATATTACCGTATTTATATTCTGCTCTTTCTCCAAGTAGCTCTAGAAGACTGCCTACTTTTTTCCTCTCCTGTTTATTCTCACAAGAATTTTGTGAAGATTATGCTGGATGAGAGTAGCTAACCAAAATCTTCCAGTTATTTTAATGATTTTCAGGAGAATTGAATTTATGATATTCCAGTCTTGTCTTGCACTCTTAACTCCCCAAAACCCATCTTCATTCATTACATTTTTGTGGGGTCAGATGTTTCAGAAGTTCTCCACCATATAGCCTACAGGTTGGATGAGTTGAGGGTGCATTCAAATGTTATATCAGTGTCAGATTCGTGGGAATAATTTTGATATGGAAGAAGTCTAACAATTCTTTTCTTGTTATGATAAAACCTCAAATATTATATTTATATTGTATAATTTACATGATTATCATATAAAGTTCCATATATATGATGAATGTGTTGTTATACCTTGTCTTGCAAATTTGTTTTTTTTTTTAAGTTTAACAATCACATTGTAATTTCGAACCAACCATAAAGTAGAATTACTCTACTGAAACTATCATAAAGCAAATAGTGTCTTGAAGCAGAGTTTTTAACCTCTAAATGTTGTAGGTGGAGAAAAAATGCTGCTACCTTTCTATGTAAATTCCTCCATAGACATAATAATTTGATTGTTTTTCCTGGTATCTGATCTGTTTCACCCCATATTTTGATAATGTGGATAAAGGAGGATTATTTTAACTTGTGTGGTTTTTAACGACTTCACAGAGTGTTGAATTATTGTCTTGTTTTTATAAAGAATTGTAAATATTTAGGAAAACAAAATTCTATGGGATCTGACTGGGATTTTTTTAGAAAAGGTTTTGACTTGGTCCATATTGCAGAATAATTTATCCTTAGTTCCTGGGATCGGGGTAAAACCTACTTTTATTTAAATTTTTAGACATGATAGTTGGAGAAGGACTCTAAGACAGGTAAGTCTGCTTCTCTTTTTTATAGCATTCTCTCTGTATATTTTCATTCCCTCAGTGAATGGCAGTGCTGGCCAATGAAGACTAGGTTTGGGAGCTAAGTAAAGTTGGGGATGGTTAGAATGAGAGCCCCACCCTCCCCTCAGACTGCAGGGTCAACTGGGCAGTCAGAAAATATCCCAGAAGAAAACAGGCCATACTTATCAGGCCCAGTTCAAGGGAAACTTTTCCTTTGTCTGATGTTTTGCAAATGCTTTGGTTATATGCAGGACGATGAATGCCTTCACATTTTATCAGTAGTTTGGTTCCTACTATTATGGAGTAGGATGTGAAAATTGGCAAGAGCTTTCTTCGTATTAATCTTTATCATCAACATCTGGCATGCTGGGACATGTGCTGGAGCCTCAATGGCTCAGCTCCCCAGCATTTCCCTGTACTGTCTAGGTATTCTGGTTCACTGGTCTCTTGTTTTAATTTCCCATCACGCTGTATAATGATACCATCCCAAGTCCAGAGTGAAAATAACAGCTACCAGCCACCTCTGTGGTTCTCTTACGTAGGCCCAAGAAAGACAAGCCTAAAGATATTTAGACATTGCTGGTATTTTAATAATTGATGTATCTATTCATTTTAATTTTACATGGATTTCTGTTAAAAACAATTTCCCTTGAATAAAGCTGCCAGATGTGTATTAGAAAATGTAAATTTCTTGTAAATCTAGCAACCATGCTGGTTATGTACCATTGCTACAAGCCTGATTACTCCTATGTTGCCACTTTTCTGGAGCAACCAGTTGTTTAGTCCCAATCTAATTCCCATGCTGGCACCAAAAGGGATTTTTTTTAATTGGGGGAGGAGAGGTAGCATGCTTTGAATATCAGCATCTATGCTGTATAGCAGAGCTTTCTTGAAACATTTATCTGCAAGGCTAGGATACAATTTAAACATAAGGTGGTTTTGCTTCATGTATTTTGAGCAGTTGTTTTTAAAGTTAATATCTGGTTTCTAAAACGTACTGTCCCAAAGAAGAGAAGAAATTAATCACCAAATTCTCTCTTTCTCTCTTTTATTGCTGTTAGTTTTCTGAATACCCAGATCCCATTTTATGTTCAGATTATGTGCAGTTGTCAAATTCTCCAGCTTCTTCAGATCAAAAATGCAGTACTGTATCATGGGAAGAGTTGAAATCTATGGACTTGCCATCTTTTGAACCTGCCTTTCTGGTTCTTTGCCGAGTTCTTCTCAATGTTATCCACGAGTGTCTCAAATTAAGATTGGAACAGCGGCCTGCTGGGGAGCCATCCCTCCTGAGTATTAAGCAGGTTTGTCTGTCATATTTATTTTATTTTGTTCTGTAATATTAGGGTAATGGCAGGTAAAAAATTACGTTCTTTTCATTATTGGCAATTCTTTCCAATAGCACAGATGCTGTGCTATTGGAAAGTTCATTATCATTCAGATAATGAACTAGAATATTGCTTGTGACAAATACTCATCTCTTGCCAATAATTATTTCATCAGCAGTAACAAAAATGATGTCTTATGCAACTTCTAAACTGTATACGAATGATAAGCGCTTCAGGAGAATAGCTAGGTCAATGTTTTTTTATGTTTTGAAAAAAAAAGAGGACAGAAGAATCTGCGGAGGGCATAAAAGTAATCTCTCTATTTCCCTCCCCAAATTAAATAAAATGGCTTCTTATTAAAACCATTCACATGTTTTCTTACTTTGGAGAAATTCCGCTGTAATTATGCTGTAGATGAAAATGTACCTGCTGCATAATGTTTACAACATAAACATTTCAACATAATATGTATAAATATTATATAGTTATAAATAATTGACTAATTTATATATTTATAAGTGGTTAATTAATTAAGGGCTAATCCCATCTCTCCCCCCCCCCCATGTATTGGGCTCCCTCCATCTTGGGGTAATGATTTTATTTTGTCCGTATTGTCATTTTATACTTGATGATGTTAATGTTTTTATTCTGTAAGCCACCCAAAGTTGTTTGAAACGAGATGGGCAGGCAAATAAATTTAATAGTAATAACGAATAAAAATAAATATCTATTATTTCTATGTCATTTAATAATCAAAAATATTTAGGCTGATAACAAAAATGGCATTTTGATATAGATGGTACCAATAATCCACAATCAATATCCTCCAAGAGAAAATAAATAAATGTAGCCAATACTATACTGCTGTGATCCTCCGTAGTATGCTGAATATAGATATACAGATATATATAGAATATAGATAGATAGATAGATAGATATATAAATTAACTCAATAATCCTCTCTGCATGTTTTAAAGAAGCATATATGATTAGCTGGTTATTGACAAATTATAACTGCTTCGGTCTTAAATGAAAGCCACAACTATTCAGTAGTCAAGCAAATATTAAAAAAATGCAGAAGGTAGAGTGATAATAGTACTTGCTGAATTCAATGAGATAAAACGTTATAGCAGGAGGCCTTGTGAAGATGGAAAATGGATAACAGAGGGCTTAGATTCATACTCTGTAGAAATCAGTTATTCTACCAATTTGGGTTTTATTTTGCATCACCCTTTTTGTGGGGCATTTATCTCACGTACTAGCAGAACTGAAGACGACAGATATTTATAGAATTTGCTCTTTAGAAACATCTTTGCATTTTGCAGCATGAAAACACCAGATTGATCAGTGTGCCATTTCTCTTGCAGCTCGTGCGAGAGTGTAAAGAGGTTCTAAAAGGTGGCCTCCTGATGAAGCAATATTATCAGTTTATGTTACGCGAGGTTGTAGATGACCTTCAGAGCCACTGCAACATTGACTCTTTCGAAGAAGACTTGCATAAGATGTTAATGGTAACTAACAATTCAATGTAATATCCAATGGTTTGAGTTCCATTTGGTTATTTTTAGATTGTTTCGATTAGCAAAGAACTTTCCTAGCCTGCAAAAACCTGCATTTTGTATTTCAACCATATATATAAAACAGGGAATGTTCTAACTATGTGCTATCTATTCTGTAGACTACATTAGACAGTGAAGCAGGACTATCAGAAAATAAAGTAGGTGCTTCTTCTGTATTTGAAGCATACCCTTGATATATTATTTTATACATTGCCTGCTACTCTGAGACTGCAGATCTGAAGAGAGAGATATTCTGACTTCTTCCCTTTGTCTAAGAACCTTTAAGGGTTTGCTTGTTTATATTTAGTAAATATATATATAGCCACCCTGTTGAAAACAATCAAAGTAAAGAATAACAACATTAGGGAGCAAACAGTCATAAAATGCAATAAATCATGTCAAATTATTCCACGGATACTTAGCCATTGTAAAACTCAAACCAGACAGGTTGACAAATTTGATCATGTACCTATGAGAAGAACTAGGTCTTCCAAGCCTTAAAAAGTGCAGGCAGGATCAAAACCATCTGGGACTCAAAAGGAAATAACCATTTCAAAGGCAGGGCACAGTGACAGAAAGCATGATTAGAACTATGTATGCTTTCTAGGAAGGACATTGTGATGACAAGTTAACATGACCCCATCCAAAAAGAGCAGGGAGCTTACCCTTTGCTGATTTTCCTGGCCCTGCAGAATTGAAGGAACGCACATTATCTTCTATCATCTGCCAGGATAACTAGGCCCACAGAGAAAGAGATGTCTTTTTCTCCCAGGCAAGGAACAGATAAATCTTCCTTCAGTTTTCAAAGTGCAGCTCTTGGCAGTAGTAAGTCTGTTTCTTTGAGTCATCAGAAGACTCTCTTTTTGGTGTTCAAAGCCACAGGTATGTTGAAGGTCCATTTAATCCATTTAATACACATATTATAGTAGACCAGTGCTGTTGATTAAATAAAGAACAGGTAGTCCTCGACTTGTGACCACAAGCCCAAATTTTTTGTTGTTAAGTGAGACATTTGTTAAGTGAGTTGTGCCCCATTTTACAACATTTTTTGCCTTAGTTGTTAAGTGAATCACTGCAGTTGATAAGTTAGTAAAACGGCTGTTAAGTGAATATGGATACTCCATTGATTTTGCTTGTCAAAAAGTTGCAAAAGGTGATCACATGAGCTTGGGACACAGCAGCAATCATAATGGGGAGCCAGTTGCCAAGTATCTGAATTTTGATTATATGATCATGGGGCTGCTACAAAGTTTGTAAGTGTGAAAAATGGTCATAAGTCACTTTTTCAATGTCGTTGTAACTATGAATGGTCACTAAATGAACTGTTGTAAGTAGAAGACTACCTGTCCACAATTCCTTACATGAAAGTATCCCTTTTCCAAGCCAATGAGGCCTCTCTGAGATTTCCAGTATTTTTGAGGGAATTCTGTAGTTTGATTGGCCATGGGGGTTGGGGGAATGTAATTCTGCCAGGAGCATGAGGATTGATAAAAGGGGTTTTTTTTGGAGAGAGGAGAATTGTAAGCAACGTTCAGTTTTATAAAATTAACATGATATTATGGATGAGGATTTGTCTTTGCTGTGAAACAACTTTTTAAATAGCTTTCCCTACTCTTTTTTTTTTTCCCCTCTGGGTTACAAGGTTTATTTTGATTACATGCGAAGCTGGATCCAAATGCTACAGCAGTTACCTCAGGCATCTCATAGTTTAAAGAATCTTTTGGAAGAAGAATGGAATTTCACCAAAGAAATAACGCCTTATATACGAGGAGGTGAAGCTCAAGCTGGAAAACTATTCTGGTAGAATTGCATTACTACTATGAATCTTCTGTTTGTTTGATTTATCTATTTCAATAAGTGAAAATTCATACTTTTGAAAAAATAGTTCCTGTTTAAAATTTCTGGGGTTTATTTTAAGGACAAAACTATGACTTTTTAATACTACATTCCCATTAACAATTGTAATAATTTTAATAAGTTACTCATATGTCTCCCATTTTTTTATTCTATCAAATTGAAAGTTGATCTTTTTAATGATAACTAATACTCCTAGTTTGATTTTAATTTTATTTGAATAATTTTAATGGAAGCCCATTATTTATTCAGAATATATCTATTTACTGTTAGCTCTGTTCTTGCTGCTAATATTTTCTTTTTTACACAGTGTTCCACATTTCAAATAGAGTCATTAAAGTATGGGCGAGAGTGCCTATCCAGGAGTATTGATTTTCATTTGCTGCTTCTTTTCCAAAACACTTATCCTATGTTTTGGCACAGAAATATTTTATTGAGAAAATATTAGGTTGTCATGCTATTCTTTTACAGATTAAAGAGCGTTACAGGGCAGATCTGTAATCTATTGCAGGAGTTTTCAAACTTAGCAATATGCTGGCTGAGGAATTCTGGGAGTTGAAGTCCATAAGTCTTAAAAGTTGCCAAGTTTGTAGACCTCTGATCTATGGCTTCCTTGAATGCAAATGTGGCTGTGATAATAGTGGCACGTGGCCTTTATATCTGCTTATGTGTGTTGTGTTTAGCCATGTAGAAAAATTGTTTATAATTATAGCTGTGATGAAAATTCGTAATGCAAAATTAAGATCATGTATAAAAAGTGGTGGCAATTTTCTTAGCTATATTTAAAAAAACAACAACAACCCAACCCATTTGAAATCAGGATAAGAAGTATTTGATTTTATTCAACAGCTTTATTTACATCTTATATAAATAAATGAAAAAATGATATTGATCCTTTTTTTTAAATAAATGTATCTTTCTTTTTTAGTTCAAACTACCCCAAAGATAAGATGGAAAAAAAAATAAGATGAGAGGAATTTAAATATCATATACTTATATCTGAATTACTGCATTACCTTGTAGCGCAGAGATGCAGAACATATGTTTGCAGAACCATAATTTCTAGAGTCTGAGTCAGTCTGGATTGAGAAATGTTAGATTTTGCAGTAAGCAACGTTTGGAGGGCCAGTGGTTTCTTTATCTTTATTATAGTTCCAGGAAACTTTTTGGTGTGTAAACTTTCTCAGTAGTGACTGTTTTATTTTTGTTGTAGTGACATTGCAGGAGTACTATTAAAATCAACAGGAATCTTTTTGGACTCTGGCTTACAAGAGAGCTGTAATGAATTTTGGGCTAGTGCTGATGACAGTGCTGCTTCAGATGAAATCAGGTATTCCTCCTTGAAAAATGTTCATGTATGGATAAAGCACATTGTTCATACAGATTAGAGTTAATGAGGAATATATTTAAGAGGAGGAGAACAATTTTTGTGCAGTAGACCTGGAGAATAGGTGACTGTGCATCATTGGGATATTGTGCTTTCAGTGAATCGAGTTAGGGTCATCATCACCTGATATTATTTCATTATAAATTGGCTGTTGTGTTTGGTTGCAATTCTATGTGTGCAACTAGAGTCATAATTTTGAGATTGGCAGCTATATAAATAGGTATGATCAGTACAGATAATCCTTGTTTAGCGACTGCCTCATTTAGTGACTGCTAACACGACAATGATCTAAAATAACTTTACGGCAATTCCTTACATGTATAACCTTTTGGGACTGTAAAGCAAAGGAAAACTGAAATAAGATCATAAGCACAGTGGCTTATGATGATTATTTCAGTTGATGATTATTTTGCTTCATGACTGTGTTGCCAGTCCCAATTGTGATCACTAATAAAAACTGCCTGTAAATAAAATATGTATTTTAGCAATCGTAATTGCACTTTTAGCTTTTTGTTTGCACATTTATTTGCCTTCTGATCTTCACTTACATTTTGTTTGACATTTGTAGGAGGTCTGTTATAGAAACCAGCCGGGCACTGAAAGAGCTATTTCATGAAGCTAGAGAGAGAGCATCGAAAGCTCTTGGTTTTGCCAAGAGATTAAGAAAGGTAAACAAATTAGACCAAATCCAGTTGCATTTACATGCTAAGCCGTTCATTTGTAACAAAATGTACTTTTCTCACCATATTTGTAGGACCTTGAAATAGCTGCGGAGTTCACGTTATCTGCCTCTGTGAGGGATTTCCTTGTTGCTCTGAAAGCACAGCAGTACACAAAGGTAAAAAAACAGTCCAGAGGCCACATAGCATGGGGATATTAATGGAAGGAGTCCTTGAACTTACTCAGAAATTTGGATACATGGGATTGTAGTTCACTAAATGGGAAAACAAATGTCTGCTGTTTTTAGATTCTTATCAAGGCTAGATTGCTAACAACCCGGTAATGGCAATATAAACATTTTTGCATATGGAATCGTCTCGGTTCAAATGTCAGATAGGAACTCCCATAATTATGTCTCTGAAAACGTTTTGCACATCGAAGAAACAAAAGCAGTCTGTGTTGAGGGGATCGAAGGAGGGTGGGGGGCGAGTACAGTGGTTACAAACCTGTTTTATTATGCATAAAAATGCATTTGCTTTGACCTCTCCACAAAACAGAAAATTATGAACATGGGATATGGATCGCCTTGTTAACTATTTTGACCCTTTTGATTTGTTTTACAGGTACAAATTCCTGGGCTTGAAAATTTACAAATCTTCATGCCAGATAATTTTGCACAGGAAAAGTCTTTTATCTTGCAGTTGCTTAATGCAGCTGCTGGAAAGGATTGCTCAAAAGATTCTGATGAGGTTGCAGGTGAACCGTTTTTACTGATGACAAAATACAGTGAAAAAGACCAAGAATTTGATGACAGCTGGAGCACTTGGGAAGGACAGCCAATCAAAATAGTTCCTCAAGTGGAAACTATTGATACACTGAGAAGTATGCAGGTAAAGGCTTTCTGTGTTAACTAATACATGGACTCAAATGCTGGGTGATGCTTAATGTGTTCTAAATTATATCTGAAATATTACTACCATAAGGTCCCGGGTATTTAATAATGTTGGTTTATCTTGTTAGGTATTCTAAATGTGGTTAAAGGAACCAGGAGACAGTGAGTTCTAGTCCTCCTTTTGGCACAAAGCCAGCTGAGTGACTTTGGGCCAATCACACACTTTTCACCCCTAGAAAAGAAATCACAGCAAACCATTTCTGACAAAAGTTGGCAATAAATCTGCAGGGATTTGTCTAATTAGTTACCTGATAATTGTGATCTGACGGCAAAAATAAAAATTGTGTAGTATTTTCATGTTGTAAAAAAACCCTTTCATCTTTTTTAATTTCCTCAAGAAACAACACACATAAATGTAATTAAAATTCCAATGAGAATGACGGCCTTTTGACAAATGGGGTATATCATCAACACATTTTTTTTAGCACAAAAGATTCTCATTCCTCTATTTGCAACTTCCAGTAAATATTTGGACAAACCTTATGCACAGAAATCTGCTTCTATTTATAAAATTGCTACTTAATTGATCATAATGAGAGAAGTTTTTAGAAAATCCAAATCTGTAACTGATTTTAAGTTGATTAATTTTCTGGGAAGAAAAGTTCCATCCTTGGAATATTTAGAGTGATTCAAATAATTTGAATACTATTTTCAGCAACACTCTGTTCTCTTTTGTTCTAGGTTGCCAACCTTCTTCTTGTGGTAATGCAACCGGTTCATCTTGTGAACCAGAGAAAAGCCTTTCAGCAGTTACTTGAAGGATTGATCTCTCTGCAGCAGGAGCAAACTTCCAGCCAACCAGTAATTGCCAAAGCTTTGCAACAGTTGAAGGTACATCTCTTTCTAATTTATTATCTCCTAGGCCAGTGGCGCACAACTAGGGCCCATTTCGACCTCTGGACTTCAGCTTCCAGAATTCCTGAGAGAGCATGGCTGACTCAAGAATTCTGGGAGTCGAGTTCCCCAGGTAGTAAAGGGACCATTGTTGCCCACTCCTGGTCTAGGCTGTTGATTCTAATTCATTTATCATTTGAAAATATACAATAAACCAATTAGATCTGCTTTCCGTAGAAAGTCATAAAACAATATTTGCTCTGCAGTTTTACAGATTGATATAAATTGCGTAGAACTGTTGAGAGAGAATGGCTTATGAATTTGCAAATAAGTTGAATGTGAAATACAGTATGGATTGCTTGTACTGATCAGGCAGCAGAACTGTCTCTATTTTGATACATATTCAAAACTTTTCCATAAGTGCTGCATAAAAGGAAGTGGTAACAGAACCTTTTTAAAAAAATTCTATATGTAACTTTGAGGAGTTATTAGTATACTCCTAACAGGATTGAAAATAAACAATATAAACAATATAACTAATAATAATAATAGTAAAGTTGGAAGGGACCTTGGAGGTCATCTAGTCCAACCTCCTGCTCAGGCAGGAAACCCTATACCATTTCGGACAAATGGCCGTCCAGTCTCTTCTTAAAAACTTCCAGTGTTGGAACTGTATAAGTATAAAGTGTGTGTAAGAGACATAAAAGTGTTCATGTCCACAACTCAATAGTCTGATATACACTGTACCTCCCAAAAGAATACATATCATGTTACCCATGAATTTTTTTTAGTTGTTAGTATTATATTTCTAACACTTCGATAGAAATAATTCCATTAATTTCAATGAGGCTAACTCTAGTTAAATGTATACAGGTAGTCCTTGACTTATGACCAGAATATAGGTAGTCCTTGACTTATAACCAGAATTATTACAAGAATTTCAGTCATAAGTCATGACAGTGATAAGTTGAGGCACCTAAGAGACTGCACCTGATTTTACAATCATTTTTACAGTGGTCATTAAGTAAATAACATGGTCATAGGTTCAAATCAGTCGTAAGTATGAACCCATCCTCCTATATGGGCATTTTTTTGCCTGAAACTGGCAAATTACTGGCAGCACACAACAACCAGTCATAAATGTGAGGCAGGAGAGCCGGAATGACATTTTACAATGGCCAGAAGTACTTTATTGACTTTAAAGCACCTTTTCCTGTCATAACTCCGAACAGTTTTTAAATAACTGGCTGTAAGTTGAGGTCTACCTGCCCAGGTTGTCCTCAATTCTAGATTAATGATCTAAATAGCAAAGATATAGGCATTTATATTTAGTATTAATATTGCTATGTTTATGTAAATTCCAGCAGAATTTTGTGTCTTTACATTCCAAGCGTATCAGCAGAGCTTTTTTCCCGCATTTTCCAGAGTGATGCTTTACATCTGTGCAATAAGATCAGCAGTGCCATTGATAGAGTTGATCATATGTTCACCTCTGAATTTGATGCTGAACTTGATGAATCGGAATCTGCCACCTTGCAGCAATATTACAGAGAAGCCATGATTCAGTGTTACAACTTCGGCTTTGAGGTAGGTCCAAGAGAAATTTCTTTTGCCTTTTCAGGGAAAAAGGAAATCATATATTTTAACCAAACACTGGCAAAGTGATACTTCACCTCAATCTGTTTATAGCTGTTACATACAAATCAACATACAGGAAAAAATAGACCGAGGATGGTATAATAGTTAAGGTGACAGACTGGAAATGAGAAATCTCAGGTTCTAGCTGGATGATGATTAGATGATTGGGGCTGATTACTCTTTCTCAGCCTAACCTACCTCAGAGAGTGGTGGTTGTGAGGGAAAATAAGCATGAATTGAAGAGATCCAGATTGGTCTAGTGGTTAAGGCACCAGGCTAGAAAGCGGCAGACTGTGAGTTCAAGTCCTGCCTTAGCCATGAAAACCAGCTCGGTGATCTTGGGCCAGTCAGTCCCTATCAGCCCAACTCACCTCATAGGGTTGTTGTTATGGGGAAAATAGGAGGAAGATGTTTGCTGCCTTGAGCTATTTGTAAAAATAATAAAGGCACAGGACACAAATTACATAAATGCTATGCACATTACCTTGATCTGTACAAAAGGCAGAATACAAATCTAATGTATAAACACAATATTTATCATGATCAGAATACATGCTTTTTTGAAAATCAAGGCTGTTTTTTTTGTTAAGATGAAAATAAGATGCATTGTATGTATGTTGGTAACACCAAGAATAACTTCCTGTGTGCCGACATATATTATCCAAGTAGAAGACCTATCCCCACTAATAATGCCGTGATTTATCCTGCTGCGACAATTCAGTGTTGTATATTATGTACATGACAAAAAAGACCAACCTTGTCTGCTTTGACAGAGACTGCTGCATTTTGGAATAAATAATTGATCTTTTTCTTTTTAAAGCAGTCGGTTCCAATGGTGCTTATAGTGTGGACCATGTGCTTTCAAACTAGTTTGTTGTTTGCTTGCTAGCTAAAGGTATGTCCCATCTTTTTCTTTAGGAGCTCAGGAGTGCCTTCAAAGCACTCCTCTCTCCTATTTTTCTCCATAACAAGGACTCTGTGAGGAAGGTTGAGCTGAGAGAAAGAATGCCTAGCTCAGGGGTAGGCAACCTTGGCTCTTTTATGACTCGTGGACTTCAACTCCCAAAATTCCTGAGCCAGCATGGCTGGCTCAGGAATTCTGGGAGTTGAAGTCCACGAGTCATAAAAGAGCCAAGGTTTGCCTACCCCTGGCCTAGCTCAAAGTCACCCTTCCATGGCTGAAGGAAAACTTAGAACTTGAGTCTCTCCACTCTGCACCTCCGATCCAAACCCTTAAGCCCTGCACCACGTTGGCTATCTCTTTTGTTAGTTGTTTATGAGAAGGTTCCAGAAGTAGGAGAGAGGTCCCAATAGTCCCTAATGTTTCTAGTGAGATCCAGACATATAAAACATTTGCAATTGCATCTTATCTCAGTTAGATCAGTTCTGGGTAGCAGGATGAGACTTCTTTCAGGTTAAAAATTGGGAGGTATGTACTAACCACATTTGGATGCTGCCCCCAATCTTTTTCTGGGAGAGGCCATTACCTGTCAATCATATAGGTCTTTTTCTGTCTTCACAGCAAGGTACCTCCCAAAGTGCACCCATCACCATTGTAATTGAATCCATCCATCTTGCTGCCGGTTACCATCTTCTCTTTCCTTCCACCTTTCCTAGAATTTTATTTAGAATAATATGTCCAAAGTAGGATAATTTGAGTCTGATCGCTCTTTAGTTGCACCATTAGCTTGTTCTAACCATTGAATGCTCATTATCTGGACTGATCATTTAAATCTATTATAGTATCACAAAGAAGTCATCCGACTAATGTCTGGAGAATTTAGACAGAAAATAGGAGACCAGTATATCACTTTTGCAAGAAAATGGATGAATTATGTCCTCACTAAATGTGAGAGTGGGCGAGGCACCAGACCCAGGTAATGACAAAGTAAATGCTTTTTAAATGTTTTCTGTCCCTTTCATTTCTGTGCAGTGTACAGTATATCTTAAATACAGAAGAGAATTGCTGTCTAGATGACCTTGGTTTAATTAGTGTTGATTAAATTACTAAATAACAACTAATGCAACACCCATGCATTAAATAATCAACTACAGTTTAGAATGTAATCCACTATTGCCTCAGTTAAGAGTACACTTGGACTTCATGAATTCTGTGGGAAGTGACAATATAGTTAAACGTATATTGTGGCGTTACAGTTTTTAACTGTCCTTACTATGAGAACTTCCTTTCTAATATACTAATTTTGAAGTACTGCTAAGAGTACTGTAATATGCTTTACATGGGGTTGCCCTGGAAAAGCATTTGGAAGCAGCAACTGGTCAAACATGTCAAAAAAATACACAAAATTATCTGCCTACCAGTGTCTCACTGCATGCCTCCTCCTGCCTGCATTAAATACCTAGATAGAAGTTGTTCTCCTGAAACTGAGGACGGAATGAGCAAACCAGATCTCATGGGGGCAGAGTTCCAAAGCATGGAGGTAGAAATCCATAATGCCATCTTCCAAAATCCCATCGGGTGACATTTTGTAAAGATGGGACCTGGAGGGGCCTTACCCTATTATGTGGGGCTTTAAAGGTCATATCAACACCTTTCAATTGTATCCAGAAGACCACTGGCAACCAGTGCAGCTTTCAAAACAGCACAGGGTCACCGGAGTATAATGGGATATACTGCTCACTGCTCGGGCTGCCACATATGCCAGTTGCTGCTTCCAAATGCTTTTCCAGGGCAACCCCATGTAAAGCATATATTACAGTTACTCTTAGCAGGAGGGGATTAAGGCGTGAATAACCCTGCATATTTAAAGCAAAAATGCCAAATTGGCTTATATTTAATTGGCTTATATCCAAGGCCCACTGTTTTTTCAGAGTTGAGCTCTATTCTGGTTCTTGATTTTGTCAGTCCAAATATCAGCAGTTTTTCCCCATTTGTTTGTTTGGAGGGAATTTTGATAATTTTTTTACCGAATCTTATTTTTCATCTAAAAAATGTTGGCCTTAGAAAAACCTGAGGTATCATCTGATTTTTTTTTTATAAAGCACCTTTAATTAAACATGTGGAGGTTACTGTTTCTGATTTTTACTCTCCTACCATCGGGTAGGAGATACAGAAACATAGCCAGCCGTACCAACAGGCTGAAGAACAGCTTTTATCCATGGGCCGTCAGGCTTCTGAATGGGACATAACTTTATAACTTTATGCATGACAGACTCGTGAGGCCGGCGTGATGTGCAATTAGTTCACAGGGTGAAATAAGTTGGGGGTTTGTAGTCACCGTGAGTTTGTGGTGAGGGGGGGCATAGAGAGAGGCTCAGCCAATTTCACTGTATACATGTTATACTTTGATAATAAAGGATTTATTACTATTATTAATAGTTTTAAAGTAGCTTTAGGTATGCAACCTTGGATTAATCCTATTACTTAAATTACAAATACCTGAAAGGCAAGACTTAGGTAGCATAACAGAGAATTATTATAGGTGGTCCTCAACTTATAACTGGTTGCTTAACAATCATTCATAATTAGGATGGCTTCGGAAAGGGTGTTTTGCACTGGCATGGGCACGTTTCAGGGGCTTTGCAATCAATTCAGTTTACGACTGGTTGCAGCACCCTGCGGTCATGTAACTTGCTGGCTCCTGACAAACAATAATGCCTATTTGGGAGAATGGGGTTCATTTAATCACTGTGATTTTTTTGATGATCATGTGATTTGCTTCATGACCATGTGATTCAGACTACAGTTGTGATTTGCTTAAAAACTGCTGTAAAAATCAGTAAAAAAAACAACAATAACCCCCATGGTCCAGTCACATGAGTGACTTGACTTACCACCACAATCACGACCAAAGTTCCGGTCCCAGTTGAAGACTACCTTGTATGCTCAATAAATAGAACTTTTGGTACAAACATCAACAAATAATTTCTTTCTGTTGGACAGGTGGGCAACACAGGGGTTTGATTTTCTTCAAGCCATTGAACCAGCCTTTATTTCTGCTCTGCCCGAAGACGATTTCTTGGTATGCTGTTAATTAATCATAGATTTCAAATGGATAAACATTGCCAACTATATATGAAACCAGTGGCTGTTCTGCTAAAAAAAAAAAAAAGGATTTTAATGGTTTCTCCTTATTAATTTAATTAATGGCTTAATTTATATTAAATTAATGTAATGGGTTCTCAGAGTATTTATTTCTCATGGTTTGAAGATACAGCAGTATGACTTGCAATGTTTTGTTCTGTTTGGTTTTTTTTTAACCAGAGTTTGCAGTCATTGATGAATGAATGTATCGGCCATGTTATTGGAAAGCCTCACAGTCCTGTTACAGGTTTGTACCTTGGTAAGGCAGCAGCTGTAGTCTTTTCCTATGGAATTTTGAAGCTAATCGCTTGTAGGAATGAATATGATCTAGGTTATTTGGAAATAAAATAAACACTGATTTAGTAACAATTACAAGGTGGATAGCAACATTAGCAACTTTAAAATATGAGGTCCCAGGTCTGTATTTAAAAATAGGAGCAAGAAAGAGAAGACAAAACGGACAGAGATTTTCCGAAATAGTGATTTTATCAGAATGACATTAGGCAGGGAGCCATGTTGCTTTTCCAGGGTGCAGACATTCCAGAGTCTGGGCACAGCAGCTGAGAAGGCTCTCTCTTGCACATTCCGGTCAAACGAGTCTTGGAAATCAGGAAATGCAACAGGGTCTTTCCAAATGATCTCAAAGAGTGGGCAGCTTCACATGGGAGGTCGTGGCATTTTAGGAATCCTGGCCGCAGATTGTTCAAAGCTGCATTGGTAATGAGCAGTTTTTAAAATGAGCTCTGAAACTAAAAGCCCACTGAATAACAATGGAGTTGCATGTTTTGGATAACTCCTTGCAGCCCCATAGCTTTGCTGCTGCATTTTCTACTGATTGAAATTTTTGGATCCTCTTCAAAGGCTTCCCCCAGTGGGCACATTATTGCAGAATTCTATTCATCTTAACCTTAAAGCATTTGTAATCAAGAGGAACAAACTAGAATGTACTTACGTACAGTTGTCATAAAAAGCAGATATTTAGCTACCGCTATGCATTTCTTTCACAGGATCCTATCTGAGATTCCTTAATTTTGAGTTGTGTACATATTATGCCTTACAAACTTAAGTATAGACCATTGAGTGTCTATTCTCCAAGTGATTGGCAAGCTAGTCATCATTCACCTGTTACAGTTGACAAGGAGGAAAAAAATGATACCATTCTGCTGATTTATTTCATTGGGGTACAAGCCTATATGATTAAACCTGGAATCTCATTGGCAGACTGCAGCATGTATTTCACAACTAGGTGTAACTTTCTCTGAAGGAAATGTGTAACAAAAGAGTTGCTTATGTTGAAATAGCATGGCTGTATCTATATGGCTATAGAAAAGAACTATTCAAGTACAAGTAAGCCTTGTTTAGTAACTACTTCGTTTAGTAACTGTTCAAAGTTACAACAGTGATAAAACGGTAACTTAGCAATCTTCCCATTTACGACCCTTGTAGGTCTATAAAGCAAAGAAAAGCTGAGTTAAGATTATAAGCCCAGTCACGATTTCACTTAGCAACCATTTTGCTTAATGACTGAATTGCCAATCCCATGAGGACTGCCTGTAATATTAAAATGAATTTGTTCATCAAAGATGGGCCTGAAAAGTGAGTCAGTTCAAAGCAGTCCAAGTTAATTGTGAAAATTATGCCTACAGGCAAGTTAAATAGCAGGTAACAGCAGCTGGCCAATCTTGTTCGGGCTTGTAAGCATATAAGCAAAACCACTTCTGGGTTGTCGCCTAGAAGACCTCTTGGTTATGTGTCTGTAGCCCTGAAGACATATTAACCAACTCATCAAGGTTGGAATTGGCTTATGACTTAGATACCTTTTTACTTTTACCTGCTTCTTTTTTTCTTCTGAATTTTTATGCCAAATGACTTCAACATAAGTTACTCTGCTTTTGCTGCTCAGTTTATTAGCCTATTTATTTTGAGTTGACTTGATTGTTTAAAGTTTTTATTTTAGCAGTTTGGTAGACACGTTTGAAGACAAAACCACGGACTGTTTAAAAACAGTTTACAAAATCAGCGAATTTCAGTGCATTCTCTCATTTTTGACAAAGATACTATAATTCAACTAGCATATAATTTAAGGCGTGATTTGATGCTCCCGGTTCCCACACAATTGATCTTTTCCTGCCTCTTTTTGCTTGCAGCTATTCATCGGAATAGTCCTCGCCCCGTGAAAGTACCTCGATGCCATAGTGATCCCCCAAATCCTCACCTCATCATCCCAACACCTGAAGGGTTCAGGTATGTAAAGCCTTATCCCAAACTTTATTACTTATGAAATACAAAAATGAAGGATTTAAAGCAGTTCCAGCAGTATTATTCTCTAGCTGTCCTTCCTCCACTTCTACATGGAAGTACAGTGTTGCACTCTTGAGAAAAACACAACTTCTGCTCCAACTTTGGTAATGACTTGCTGTTTTGTGTAGTGGGTGCAGCATGCCTGTCTGTAATGGAATTGCACCTTTGACATTACTGAGTGACAAGCCAAGAAGTAATTTAGTTCTTCTTCTCCCTATGCTGGATTTTTAAATTAAACAACACTCTTTATATTGTTGCTTTTTTTGTTCTCCAGGGTACAAGGTCTGCAAGGCAATCAGAACGAAGCAACTCTTCCTTTTTCTACTCCTATATGTAACCTAGCTCTGTGCTACTATTTCTGCAGCCTTCTTTCCTTCCTTTCTGAGTGCTCAGTCTTGAGATGGTCAAGAAAAGAAGGCTGCACCTCAGATCAGTCTATCAGACTACATTTATGAATGAGGCCAAGAGAACATGCCTCTGATGCTATTGATGCTATTTACTAAAATTTACTAAAAATGCCCACTTTTAAAAGATTGCCAAGGAACTGAGATGGAGAAGATAAGGTTTGGTGGTATTGCATTATCTTCTGTTTCTTAAAAAGACACATATGTGTGGATTCATCAATGACATGGTGGCTTCCATGTTTTGATGTTAGTGAGTTAGTTGAATACATATCCATAAATTAAAATCCCAAGTTACTTCTGAAATAGGCTTCATTACATTTTTGTTTCTTTCTGATTTTGCCTTCAGCACTTCGTGTTTAGAAATCTTTCTTGAGGGTTAGAAGCCAAGTTTAACTTTTTACAAGATGTTGGTTTCCAGGCTGCTGTCTTACTTTAAAAAAAAAAAATCCATTTTAAAGTGGAGCCAGAGCTTTTTTTTTCCTGAAGCTTTTTTTCTCGCTGCAGCACAAGGAATATCCCATGTGATGTACGGAACCACTGTAGCCCTGCTTTCAGTCGCCCCACTCCTGTTGGGGGTGACTCAGCTCAGCCAAAACCCATCAGCAGTGCAAATGACCTCAGGTAGCTCCGCTCCCCAGCCTAGCAGACTCATTCTTGTTCATGCCACTCATATAAACCATGTGTGCACTTAGACCCCAGTAGTTCCTCTTGGTTTCATTTTGTGTTCCCCATGACTGACTTGTTTCCATTCAGAGTGTGAAATCCTTAGACGTTTGTACGAAGCGCATGTTCAGCTACATTTTTGATAATGCATGTTTTATTTAAAAAAAAGTAGTTTGAATTGTTTTGTTCTGTCTTTGATGCATGCAATTCATTTTGTTTACCCTTTCTGCATTTTTATAGTACTACCTGTGATTCAAGTCACATGAAATTAGACCAATTATACAGCCAGCACAAATGCACATTTGAGATACGACCAGGGCCAAGAGAATGTATACGTGTAT